TGTCAAGGGCACTTCCCAGCCAAGGAACGCACACATCAGATACTGTAGTTAAGTATTTATTGTCAAAGATAATACAGGCACTTCTACAGCTCTGGATATCTACGCACTCCAATTTAGCACCTAGGCAGCTTAGTGCTCTGTGGAGCACTTGCAGCAACTGGGGGGGGCATTCCCCCTCTACCAGTTTATGTGCCTTCCTCTGACAGGCTGCATGTATGGAGACTGCGCCTGTGTGGAAACTTCCTCTGCTCATCGCTTTTCAATTCCCTCCTAGTTCTGGGGTACAGTGGTGCACGAGAGGGTGGGAAGCACCTGGCCCTTGCACTTGCCTGACCTGCCTCTTCCCCCCTCTACTTCTGACCCATCCTGTGCTCCACCCTCCAGCTTCTAAGCTTCCCCTGCCTCTGATTCTTGCCTTCTGGCTGATGCATGTTCCCATATACCGGTGGCCCCCTCTCCTGTGCCAGACTCCAGCCTACCTGCTCCTAGGGAGCACTCGGCGGTGGCCTGCCAGTCCCTGACACTTGCTATAGGTGTAATGAAAGACATTGGGACACCTTCACAGGTGTATTGAAATGGTGAGAGTACTTCCTGGAAAGCCAGATCCTAGGAATTTGGCAAAGGTCCCCAATTAACTGAAAAGTACAAAAATTGTTTATGAATGTTTTTTTGCACCTCGCAGTAAAAACACGGTGTGTGTCATAATAGAGGACAGTGTTCTAGTGCAGGATTAAATCAAGCTGTGCAGGGAGCATATTGTAACTGGTGGGTTCCATTTCCTGCATGGTTTTGAGTGCACATTTGAAGGTCCCAGGCCATAGAGAAGTTAGGCTGGCCTCAATGAGAGCCAGGGCCTTTTCGGCTGTGGCTCCGATCTGGTGGAACACTCTGTCACAAGAGACCAGGGCCCTGCGGGACTTGACATCTTTCCGCAGGGCCTGCAAGACAGAGCTGTTCCACCAGGCCTTTGGCAAGGGCACAGCCTGACTCCCTCCTTCGGCAATCTTCGCGGAGCTCTGGCCCAATGGCTGCCAGTGGCTTGAATTAATTAATTTTAGAATGAATGATTTTAGAGTGTTGTTTATGTTTACTGTTTTATTGTTGTTAGCCGCCCTGAGCCCGGCTAAGGTTGGGGAGGGCGGGATATAAATAAAATTTATTATTATTATTATTATTATTATTATTATTATTATTATTATTAGTGTCCACAAACAAGCATTTATTTTTGCTCACAGAATGTGCAAACTCTATTTGCTAGAGGTGTCTGATTATAATACAATATAATACAAAATTCCAAGCCACACTGTTTATACCTAGAAAAATCCAAATTAGCGTTAAGTGTACATTTCTCCCTCTAAAATGGGGGGTGGGGCGGCACAAAGTATACCTGAAAATGGTTAAAGCTCAGACTTAATAGTTGGTCAAACTATTATGCTTACAGGCTGACCTTAGGACAGTCACGATATCTCTCAGCCGAACCCACCTCACAGGGTTGTTCTGAGGGTAAAATGAAGGGGGCGGGGAAGAAACATGGATATTGCCTCAAGCTCCTTGGAAGAAAGGCTATTAAACATAGTTAAATAAAAGGTTGCCGGGGGGGGGGGATGCTACAGCTGTAGAGTTGTCTAACTTGTTCCTAGATCTAGAAGAAATGCAAATTAGTCAGTGTTCCAGAGAGGAATATTAGAAGTGTTCATCTGCTACAACTCAAATTCAGCACTGCAGGAGTTCATGACTTCTCCCCAACCTCTTATTTCAGTTTTGACACAGAGGATGAGGACGACGAGTGCCTGTTGCAGTGGCTACAGCCATTCCTAGGCCTCATCAGACACCTGCAGTTGGTGGTTGAGCAGTCCCTGGACCTGAACCGGAAACAAGCCACAGGCATCTTGGACACGTTGGCTTGTCGGAGCTGCAGGTTGCAGGGGCTCTGTATTGTATGCCTGGGAATAAGCCCCTATTTCTATTCCGGCCAAGATGTCCTGCATAGCATCCGGAGTATCTGCCAGAGCAGGAATGGGATTGATCTCCAGTATATTGACTTCCGGCAAATGCCTTTCACTCTGGACAATGGGACTGTTCAGATGATTGCATCCAGCAGCCCAAACCTGCACACCTTGTTCATCAACAACCAAGCACCTGGTCCAATGATTCTCAAGCCAGACACCATCTCTGATGTTCTGAGGACCTGCCCTAAGTTATCTGCCTTGGGGGTCTGCTATGCCAGCTTATCTGAGAAGATGTTTTGGGAACTGCTGAAACCGAACAGAGGGCCGTTCCGGTTTCTGGACCTTTTCTATGAAGGCCTGGACGTCAACATTCCCAAAGAGCTTTGGGCTATGGTGAGTGAGAAGCACCCACAGTTCCGCGTGAGGCTGGAGTTTGCTCCAACAGTCCCTATAAGGAAGATGCTTGTGGTACTGAAGCCAACCATCCCCGTGGCCGCTTTGCATTTTGACACACCTCTGCACATGGCCGATCAGGTTAAGTTCATTGCCAGCACCTACAGCAGGACTTTGGAGAGGCTGGTCCTTTACAACGCCCCCTCTGCTGACCTCAACGCTTCACTAATAGAACTGGCAGGAAAGTGTGTGCATCTGAAAGAGGTTCACTGTTACTCTGCGGTTAGCGAAGCAGTGGTAGAAGCTTTTATTTTACACTGCCCAGGTTTGAAAAAATACACCCTGTCAGCACAGAAGTTCTCTTTTGATATTCCACCAGCAGTCGTTCCGTGATTTGACCAAAATGAGAGTTCATGCGCACTTGTGCCCTGAAAGAGCAGCAACATTATTTGATATAAACAGCATAAAAGTACTCTGTTGCTGTTTCCACTGAGTCTCCTGTTCCAGAGCCACAATATGGACACAGATTAAAAACAGTTGAAGATAAAAGCATACTACTTGAAATCAGTGTGAATAACACTGAAGTCTCTCTTAGTCTCCTGGATACGGGATATTTTAAATTTTATACAACTGCAGATTTTAGTATCCCCCCTGCAACTCAGACATCACAGATAGCATTTATCACAGTTCACCAAGATCTGCACATAAAACAATTTTAAACACCTTACTTGATATTCTATTTTGGTAAGAACCTAACTTTATTTTGCAGCGTATATTCTCAACCATAGTAAGTCCGAGGTGGTGTGATGGTTCAAGGGGCAGAAATGAGAAGGAGCTATCTTGTCCTACAGTTGACTGACAGAGGTTTGGTAAAAGGTCTGTTCGTGTTAGTTACTTTTAAGCTTTGTTGTGTTTTTTAAAGCCTTGCCAAGAAGGAAACATGTTCTTCAGTCACTGTATGTCAGTCACTTTCTGGACTCTGGTGGCAACACCATTCCAAACTCCCCTACCATCGGTTTTTAGCAGAACTTATTTTGTATGCAGCTAAGTTCTATTCCAGAGTAGACACATCAAAATTAATGGATGTGACTAAATGGAGTCCAGTAATTTAATGGGTCTCAGTAGAACTGAGCTACATGCAACCCAGGGCTTAGACGTATGCTATCCGAAGACTGCAGCTCTGATCTGGAGATCTGACTTATCTTCAGGAGTGTCTCTGATCCAGGATAGTCAAAGTGTCAGGTCACTATTTCAGTTTCTGAGAATTTTGAGGTCTACCTGGTTAGGGTGCCGATTAACATCCTTGTCAAGAGGATGGCTGCCTGGAATGGCAGCATCACAGGCTGAAACCCTATAGATGCAGCTCTCCCATAAAGATGGAGGTATGGGCAAATGGCACTTTTTGAATTTCTGCTGTGCAGCTGTGGCAGCAGACGTGGGTGCACGTTACTTTCTAGTGGGAACTGATGTACATATCTCCATCCAGAAATGGTGTCCAGACACCCAAGCTTTGGACATCATTTCTGGATGGAATTACATGTATCAGTTCCCACTGTGGAAGATAGGTGGTGATAACACAGTCATGGAGTTCTTCCCATCTCTCTGCCTTCCGTATGTAACTGGGAGTTTGGGACATCTGCTTAGGGCTCTTGCATTTGCAGATCATGGCTCTGAAACCAGCTGAGTCCAAGGTTCCTGCAGTCAATTAGGGCTTATCCACACTTACCTTTTGCCCTGAGCTTTCCCCGCGAAAACCCACTCTTTAGAGCTGAATCGGAGTAAACTTCAATTCGGGTTTTACGCAGATTGATGTTTACTCTGATTGAGCGTTAAAGAGCGGGTTTTTGCAAGGAGAGCTCTGGAGCAACGGGGGGGGGGGGCGCTTAGACATGGAGCTTTAAATCACATAATGTGCCTGGAAAGAGCAGAGGAACGGTAAGTGTGGATAAGCCTTTAGCTGAGGGCTGGATGGAGGAAGAGCTGCTTGTGAGCAGTGGCATCAGATGCAGAGGCCGGACTCTGAGGCACTTACAGGGATGATGTTCACCACCTCAACTGTCAGTCACTCTGCTTAGTGACACTAGTCTCCAGGTGGCACACCTTCAATTCTGCTACTGTGAATTGTCTCGATTGTAATAAATACTTTGAAACATTTTCCTTACTGTTGGAATTCTCCTTGCTGTGTTTGTCCTCTTGGAAACTACAAGAAAAGCAGCCTAGAAGCTGAAAGAACAAATGAAATGAAAGAACAAGTGAAATAATAACTTAAGGTGGCCTTCAGGTAGGTCTGCTTCCACTATCGCTTCCTCCAAGTTGTGCCATGGGGAAGGCGAAAGAGCCACCCTTGGCCCTTTCCAGGGCTTTTGCTGACCTCCTGGCCTACTGTGTTTGTGCAAGCAAGTGTATTCTCTTTCCATGATGCTGCATCTTTATTCACGGCATTGTGCAATGCAAATAGCGGTGCGTTTTCATTCTGTGCATTGTTCAACCCGAGGGTTGGCCATGCCTGCCCATTGTGCTGGGCTTGGGAGAGAGCCAGCAGCATTGCTGATGTGATTTTTGTGGGAGGAGGATGTTTTCTCGGCTCTGCCTGGATCGCTAAATGGTTTTGTTTCTCCCTCTGACACACGCACAGAAAGGAAAGGGAGCTTTACTGCGGGGCAAGAGAACATGGCACTAGTGTAGTCAGAGCACCACAAAAAACACACACACTATGCAGGACTCATCCACTTCCTTGGCTATGGATGGCTACCCCAGCAATGTACCAGCGTTCCTCACCAAGCTGTGGACATTGGTAGAAGATCCTGAGACCAACCATCTCATCTGTTGGAGTATTGTGAGTACAACTAACATTGGGAGCTGCTAGTTTGGTGTTTGACAAGCACTTGTAGGGCACTGTGTGTCATGCGCAATGTACAGGGGCTTCGTTAGCCAGAAACCACACAGTGGTCTCTGAGAGTGATGTGTACAACTGGTATTTTTCAGGTACCTAACCTAACCAGTCTTATGCATGTTTATTTTTATGCCGTGTTGAGTTCAGTGGGGGTTACTCAAATGTAAGGTCTAGTTTGTGCATCAGACAGACTTGAGGTGATGGAATTCTGGGCTACAGTGCTTCAGACTGTAGGTGGGCTGGAGTGTCAAGCTGGTTGGTTCTATGTTCCCAGCATAAGTTTCCTTAATGTAATAAGCTTCGTATATTGGGGAGAAAACTCTACCTCTGAGGGAGAAGGCTGTATGCTAAGCTTGATGTGCTTGTTTGTTGTCTGTGAAGAGCTTTCCCCACTTCGGAGCACTTGGAAATGCAACTCCCCACCTACAATCTGTGGGCCAGAACCCCAGCACTTCATTCTGCATGATGCTGCATCAGTTGGTTCCCTACTGGTGAGGGGGGAGAAATTCAATTTGATTCACATTTAAAGGTGAGCTTAAACTCATTCACACTTTCCTAAACAATATGTGAACCAAGACACATGGCCATCCTTCAAATTCATAATTTTCCAAATTTTGCAATGAAATTCTCCAGCCAAGCAATGTTTGCAAAAAAGTGGGTAAAGTGCACATAGGAATGTATATTATTAGTTAAAATAATTACACAAATAATAATTAATATACAAATATTAAGGAACATTGTTTTGCAAAAATGTGCATACTGGGAGAAACTTGCACTGAAATGCCAATGAATTGCAAACTGATGCGAAAAACTAAATGAGAAATTAAAATTTGTCAGATTTGCCCATGAAATTGTAGCTGCCTTCCCCTATAGAGTTGTTCCTGGAGCTGTTTTGATCACCTGTTTGTTTATTTCACAACTGTCTGTCCATAGCTGTCATCTTGCATGGGAAGGCAATGGGCCTTCCCACCTTTCTCAGCCTGGTGCCTTCCAGATACCTTCTATGGCTGCCTGATAATCTGTGACCATTGGTCATACTGCCAAGGAGCTCAGTGTGACATACACTGTTCTCTGCCTCCTCATTTAACCCCACAACAACTGTGTGAGCTAGGCTAGACTGAGTGGCAGTGACTGGCCCAAAGTCACCCAGTGAGCTTTGTGGGAGATTTAAACCTTGGTCTCCCAGGTCCTAGTCTGAGACTTTAACTTAACCACTAAACCACCCTGGCTCACTGGAAGCTGGGGCCCAGCAATATCAGGAGGACACCATGTTGGGAAAGGGGAAGCTGTGAGGATCAGTGCAGCACACAGACAGACCCCGCCTCCCAAGTGTCCCTAGTTTCCAGGGACGTCCCAGATTTCGAGAAGCTGCCCTGGTTTCTGATTTGATCCTGGAATGTCCCACTTTTCCTTAGGATGTCCCTATTTTCATTGGAGAAATGTTGGAGGGTATGCACAAAGGTTATTTTTCTATGGTGATTTTAATTCCCTTTCAGTTGCTACATTTTAGTAGCTTGTGAAGCGTTTCTTGATGGCTCTAAAAATTAGTTTTTGCACATTACTGGCTGCTGTTTCATTTATCTTGTAACCTAAAAGCACTGCTAGTTTATTCTGATTACAGGTAATGAAGTGTGTCAATGGTCATTGGCTGATATGGAGAAAATATAATGTTTGCTGGGGGGGGTTGTTTGTTTTTGTTTTTGCTGGAAGCAGAAATTAGTAAGATTCAACTAGTTCCACCTGACCTCTGAACATGGGATATATGTCTCGAATGCCTCTAAGTGTGGTGGTGCTCAAATCTGCAGGACTTTTCTATAAAATTACCCTCTAAATGTCTCAAACCAGACTTTAGAATCAGTAGTTAAATTTGTTGGTGAGAGTTTTTAAATCATATTTTCAGTGTGAATGTTTTATCTCTGTTGGAAGTAATGATGGAAAGAAAGTGAGCCGGGGTACTTTCCTTGGTTCATTCTCTTCCCTCCTTTCAGACCACTCTTGTTTGTGAATTTAAAAGAGAAAAAATCCTGCCTGCATCTTGAGCAAATTTTAAATGAGAACTGGTTCGTGGTCTGGTTTTATCATTCTCAATATGGATAACAGTATTCCATAAAAGTAAAAAAATACATTAAATTTAAATTCTGAAACATTGGGTGGTGCTCAGCTATGTAATACTTAGAGCCATTGAAACCAATGGACTTTACTTATGTAAACCCAATGATTTATGTCGGTCTGCTCCATGACTAACATAGAATGCTGTCCTTTTGCAAAACTGTACTTTTTTAAAAAAGTTTAAAATGCACTGTTTTGCTCTAGATACATATATGTGCACAAGCACATGAATATGAGTTGACAGATGTTTAATCCTACTTGGGACTGAGTTGATCTCCCTCATACTGCACTTGGACATCACAGTAAACTGTGGGTGTTTAAGAGGATCCGGCCAGCAGACTGGATGTTCTGCTCTTGTACTCACCATTAACCTGATGTCACCATAACACTAGGTGACTTGACTTTAAAGGAAAGAATTAGGAGTACACTTGATGTTCATTCCCAGTTCTTCTTTTTGGCCATGGCTTGAACTTTTCCATACTTGATGTCATACATGATGATAGGCCTGGAAAAGTTGGGTGGGATTTGCCCAGTGCACCATGATGATGTGGGTCTAATTAGGCCCAACATGCTGGAGGTTTCCCACTGCCTCACTAAACTATGGACTGGTAAGATGTAAACGAACCTATCATCCTCTTCCCTGATCGCAGGAGGACTTGGAAACATTTGCTTCTTGTCAACTGCAGTGTGTTTTGTCTGAACCAATAAACTGTGGTTAACATTAAGTAGTCCTAACTTCAAACAAGCCACCTTTGAAACTTGCTTGGTAGTCCCAGTTTTGAATCCGTACAGCATGGCAAGCCATGGTCGAAAGTTTCCCAAGTTCTCTACCTGCTTGAGGAGGAAGAGCAGGGAAGCATGTTATTCTAGGACAGAGACATGGGGTGGAAAGTTTCCACTGCAAACATCTAAATTTTTACTGTTCTTATGATAAAAAATTACTGGTGGTAATTGACAAATGCCAATGTAATATTAATCAAGGTTGACAGTTTCAGTAAGTAATATTTTCAGGTGATTATCCATAAGAAGTGTGTAAGTATATGTTTTGTAAAAATCAGGGGTTGTGGAACTAAAACACAAAATATCCTTGAGTTTACAAGCATCCTGGGGCTTTTGGAGATGGTGTTGAGAGGGCTCCGCCCCGCTTCAAGGCAGAGAGTTTAAAAACTATTTCTGTGCCTAGAAGACCCTTTACAGCCTTCACCTCAAACTTCTTCATTTTGGAGAAGCTATGCCACCTGGCCCCTGCCACACACATCTGTTGTCTCACATAACACGAGATGTTAGGCAGGTATGAATTGGGAGTTAAATCACACAAATAACCACATATGCTATATAAGTTGCACATTATGGAGTAATGTTGATCGCAAGAACTTTGCATGTAAAACACGTTTCAGGGAGCATCACATCTTGATGCTAATGAAATCAAAGAAGAGAATAAAGTTAAACCAGAACATTTTTATTTTCATTTGGTGGGTGGGGGGGAGAGCATGTGTTTTTGTGACCAACATAAGCCACTCAACCAACTAGGCTTTATTGTCCTAAACTCATCTGATTGTGTTCCTAATACAAATTTTCTTCTCAGTTTACCAAATGGGAAAGCAAAACTATCAGTACAATAAAGGATTGTGAACCTATTGTCTATTTACTTGGAGAGGTCTTTAACTGAAGATTAGATGGAGAAATAGAGACATTCTGGGTCACCTTGTGTCCCATGCAGCTGGATGCTACTTGGAAAAACTGTTTTCAGATAATGAAACTGGGAAACTATTTTTACAGGGATACAGAATACCATAACTATATATGGAAATGAAAAATGGTTCTGTAAGTCGACTTTTTCATGGAATTGCCCAGTTCCACCCTTACCTGATGAGTCCCTCTGGGGTCAGTTCAGTCTCTTGCCGTCCACTAAAATACGGTAGACCTCATTTTATTAAAGTTTGTTTAATGGACCATTTGATAAAATAGTGGAGGTGCATATTTCACAGAAGCTTGTGGGCTACTTGCTTTCCTTTAGCACTATAGAATTACACTTGACTGCGGCAACCAGTAAAACCAGTTCTTTTTTTCTGGGGGTACACAGGGGTACGCAAACCCCTAAACATTTGGTGAATCTAAGTTTGGTCTCATTGAGGGGGCAGTGTTTCAATATGAGTAGGAAAATGAGAGTACCCATAAACATTTTTTAAAGAAAAAAAGAACTGTGCTATTTTGTCAGTACTGGGGTTACTGGGGTCTGAACAGCAGCAGTTCACTGGAGGACTTCTAACTTCCACTGCTGACTGAGGAGGTCAAGTACATTAGGAAGACCTTTGTTTAAAAAAGTAATAATAGAAAATAAAAATGTGCACCTCACCCCCAAGACCATTCCATTGTTAAATATCCACCCTCCCAAAAATTCAACACCTCTTGCGGTGGTTTGACCCATTTCCGTTTTAACAGTACAAATTCTACAAATACCTTCCATATCTCCTCAGAATAATTTCTCCTGCATATTTCCTGTTTTACCTTAATAGCACATGTTAATTTATCATTAATAGCTATATCCCACACCTCTTTATACCATTCTTCCATTTTATATTCACTTTGCTACTTCCACTTCCTAACTATAACAACTCTTGCAGCCATCAGTAAAGGAAGAGCTTTTTGATGGTAAGAGCTGCTCAACAGTGGAGCGGACTCCCTCAGATTGTGGTGGACACAATTACTGCTGAATGGGTATTGGGGGAGGGGCTTTCTCTGTCACCACCTTCTAGCAAGGAAGCTTGATCCCTATTTAGAATTGGGAAACTAGTACTGTAGTGTGTAATGTGCCGAGATCTATAATTGGGAAGAGGAGCTATATTGATATCCACACGCAGGGCCTGTTCATGCTTCCATTTGCTCAGGCACATTCCCCAGAGAAAACCCACGGTTTAGTGCCGAGTCGGCCCAAATGGCAAGTGGGTTTTCTGCGGATTGCTGTTTGTTCTGATTTAGCAGTAAATAGTGTGTTTTCCCAGGGAAACCTGTGAGGCAAACAAACAACCACTCAGATCTGTGCTTGGGAAGCACAGCACAAGTGGAAAACCTCTTGGACTCATGCTTTCTAGGTGCAGGATGAGCAAAGTGTGAACGAGCCCACAGTTAAGAGTATGTGTTATATCTACATACATATATGCAGAGTATCTGTGTGTACACATTTTGGGATTTTAAATAAATAACACACTTCACTAAGAAACAGACATAAAGATAAAGGGACCCCTGATCATTAGGTCCAGTCATGACCGACTCTGGAGTTGCGGCGCTCATCTCGCTTTATTGGCCGAGGGAGCCAGTGTACAGCTTCCGGGGCATGTGGCCAGCATGACTAAGCCTCTTCTGGCGAACCAGAGCAGCACACGGAAACACCGTTTGCCTTCCTGCCAGAGCGGTACCTATTTATCTACCTGCACTTTGACGTGCTTTCAAACTGCTAGGTTGGCAGGAGCAAGGACCGAGCAACGGGAGCTCACCCCGTCGTGGGGATTCGAACCGCCGACACTGAACCACAGTTAATTACACACTACAGTGTTTGTATTGTTGGCAGATCATAATAAAAAAAACCAAGGGAAGCCTTGTGGTCCATAAGAAAAAAGTTCCAAAGATAAGGGATACTGTAATTTTATTAGGACAAACCAAGAAGTCACAAAAATGTGGCGACCTTTCCAGTTCTTCAAAACTTCCATCAGGCAAAATGATACACAAAGTGGGAAGGATGGGGGTTTTATTATTATTTTGGTAGAAAAATCAGGTTGGATGTTGCAACAACGAGGTCTGCTTATGGGTTGGTGTTTCACGATGAAGACAGCAGACTTAAGTGCCTGTCTGGTGCTGAGGTACAAAATTACACACCTGAGAAAATAAAACCTGGCTTACAAGATGGTTCGTTCAGTGTGCCTGGCTGGGCTGGGTGCAGCAGGTTTCCTGAGGGTGTGTGTGCTGGGCATGCTGACATCAGGTGCACCCACACCTGCACCCGGGACATGCATGGTCCTGCACAAAAATTTGTGGGTGCCCTGCCCCTTCATGGGGAAAGTTGTGGGGGCTGAAGCACCCACAGCCCCACACACTTGACACCTGTGGTTCTCTGCCAAGAGGCATTGTTTGTTAGTGACTGCGATTTTTGCATTGCATTGTCATTCAACATACAGTTTTCTCCTTTCTATACTTGCCCACTAAGCCAGTGTTTCCCAACCTTGTGCCTCCAGCTGTTTTTGGACTACAATTCCCATCATCCCTTGCCACTGGTCTTGCTAGTCAGGGATGATGGGAGTTGTAGTTCAAAAACAGCTGGAGGCACAAGGTTGGGAAACACTGCACTAAGCTATTGCTTAATGCATCTGACAAAGTGAGCTTGCCTCCCTGAAATGTCATGATAAAATAGTGTTACGTCTCTAAGCCGCCACAAGCCTCACTCTTAGATTTTCAAGTATCTAAATGTGAAGTAAAGCGCCAACAAACACACCTCAGAAATGACAGCCAGGATGCAAATTTCAGCCCGTCCTTAGTTTGAAAATGCTGGTTTGTTATTAATCCAGTTTCACATATTTGTAGAATCTCAGTTTAGCATTAGAGCTTTATAGTAATGAGCAGGTAGCTAACATTGTTTAACTCTTTTTTCCCCTTTAAAGAATGGTTCCAGCTTCCATGTTTTTGATCAGAGTCGGTTTGCCAAGGAGGTGCTGCCTAAGTATTTCAAACACAACAATATGGCCAGCTTTGTGCGACAACTGAACATGTGTAAGTAACATTCCCAAGATTTAGAAAGTACAGTCTTGCTTGTATGATTAAAATGAATTTTGTACTTTTAAAATGTGGTTTTAGTACGTTGCTAAACCTAAAAAGCAGAAGCACTAGAGCCAACTTAAGTATTTGGCAACCTAGTAAGTTAATGTTTGTTAGAGGCATTTAAGTTTATGATATATTCACATACAATGGCTGCCAAGAGCAGCAAAAGAAGAAGAAAAAAGGTGCCCAGGTACTCTGTACTGGTGAGCAGCATCACAAAGAGGCACTGTTTAAAGGTGAAATAAACAGGATACCAGTTTTTAAATCTCACTTCTCTTCGAAGAATTGAGATAAAAACAATAGTGACATAAATAAAAAGTTATATATCAGCAGCTAGCAAGGGTAGGCACACTGAGAATTCTCCACTGCCTCCCACCTTCTTGGGGGCTCCACACAAAGTGGGAATAGTGGAAATATTGAAGATGTAGACTTATTGCTGATCTGGGTTTTTGACAGATGCTTTGTCTCTCTGTCCTCTAGAACTGGCACATTGGTTCGCAAGCACGTGTTTGCCATATTCACACTTTTGTGCAGTCATAGATGTATACCTAATGTGTAAATCAGCACCCCACCCCACCCGTCCTTCTGCTTCTCACCAGGCTTCTGTTTGTCCATTTAGATGGCTTTAGGAAAGTGGTGAACATTGAGCAAGGCGGCCTTGTCAAGCCTGAACGCGATGACACTGAGTTCCAGCACCTTTATTTCCTACAAGGCCATGAACACCTCCTTGAGCACATCAAAAGGAAGGTAGGAATTGCAAGTAGCTTAATTAGGCTGTTGTGATCATGTGCTACGTACGGCCTGCTTGGGAGAGGATAGAAATTACCTCTCACCATGCAGGTGGTATATTCATAACATAAGGGTAGCCCAATGCAAAAAAAGAAAACATTCATCCCTATCAAGTCCTAGTGAAAGCAGCATTGAGTCCAACGGGACTTAGGGCAGCTGCATACACTACACAGTATTATCATTATTATATTTAATTGAGATACCAGTTACTTGCCAAAACGGCTTCTAAGCGATTTACAAGTATAAAACCAATTACCAAAATGTAGTCACACATCATTAAAATATGCAATAAATAATTGCATCAAAACATTAAAATCAACATCCACAATTAAAATATTCAGTGAACAAACCCATTAAAACAGCAAGCATTATATTATTGTTGTTATTGTTGTTATTATTATTGTTATTTTATTTTCCACCCTCTTTCCCAGCTTGAGCTCTGTAGGATTATCTAAACCTGGGAGAGATCGTGTGACATCAGGGATCGCCCCTGCCATAGTCCAGGCTCCAGACAAGGGAAGGTGTCCTCACCAGATAAAAATAACACTTGCCAGCAAATGTCCTTATGTTTCCTTGACATTCGCCCACTGCATTTTTAGGAGTACGCTTGCAAAAGCTCAGGAATGCACTGGATGAAGAGGGCCTTAGTTGCATTTAGCGTTCCCTGGATTGTGTTTCCTACCTCACACAATTTATCCTTCTATTTCTGCTTCTTTCTTTGGTTGTTTCTTCAGGTATCCATTGTGAAAAGTGAAGAAACCAAGATGCGCCAAGAAGACCTTAGCAGATTACTGTACGAGATCCAGATCCTCCGGGGTCAGCAAGAGACAATGGAGTGTCAGGTGCAGGACATGAAGCAGTAAGTGAATGCTACCAGAAGCATCCTGGCATTGCAGGGGGTAGGACTAGATGACCCTCAGGGGTCCCTTCCAGCTCCACAGTGCTATGATTCTGTGGCATATTACCTGTACCCAGTCTGACTACTGGGAGAATTTCATGTACATGTAGCTGGAGTGTTACTTTTGGCCTCTTTGGATGAGACTTGCCTCCACAGAAGGTAAAGATACTGCAGTTACTTGAATATGGGCCCATCTTTACTCCAGATGTCAAACTTACGATTTCTTTGTCAAAGGTTAAGGGAGGCCTGATGTTCAAATAACTGTAGGCTCTCTCCACTTTGGGTGAGCACCAGATCCCAAGGCCTGTGCCCAATCTTGGCAGGAGTTGTGGCAGTGGGTCCGAAAGGACCCATAGAGAGAAGACAACAAAAATTGATGCAGCCTCATAGTTAGATTTCTATATATAAAACTCTAAAGGTGCTCTAAGGGCAACCTTCCCCTCCCTTTAGTAGGGGAAACAAAAGTTACTGCCCCTTTTGATTTCCAGATTAGGTCATTGGTGCTTATTCCATCGTAGGTGTGTTTAAGATTGCTGCCAGAATCACGAAGGCCTACACTCACTGTTTCCTGTGATTCATTGAGAGACTGTGCCCTCAACCTGCGGTTGTCTATTCCTTTCAGGCAGAACGAAGTATTGTGGAGGGAAGTTGTGTGTCTCAGGCAGAATCATTCACAGCATGAGAAAGTGATCAACAAGGTAACGTTTCTGTTGATGGCAATAATGTGGTGGGGGGTATTTGCTACTTGCAGATTGGGGGGTGGTTGGCTTCACTGAAACTGGCACACGGTCAACGGTCAGGGCTTTCTCAAGGAACTTCTGGGAATGTGGTTCTGTGTGGCAGATGGGCTCATCTGATACAGGAGTGGGAAACTTTTTCAACCCAAAGGGCATATTTCCTCATGAGCGGCATTCCCACATGGGCAACCTCTTAGGTGCCACATGCCAATGCTGGGCAGGGTTAGAGGCAAAAGTGGGTGGAGCAATAGAATGGACTCTTGCCTCTGCACAATAGGCTACATTCCAGCCATGCAAAGCCTCATGTTTACACACACACACACACACACACACACACACACACACATTTCCATCTGTCCTTGCCCTCACAGCCTGAAGAAGACAAGCTTTCCTAATTTGTGCAGATGCTTCAGGATTAGGATAGCTACATTTCATCTCAGGAATCACCCAGGTTTCTGATCCAATGTGGCACAAAGTTGGGGTGCCTTCTGTTGCCCCTGGGCAGGGTAGCATCTATCAGTATGACCACCCTCCCCAAGTGTCCCTTCCTATTCCAAGTGTTGCTTGTTCACTGCATTCATAGAAGAGTGCACACATTTGATGTATGCTTACATTCATGTCGAGGAAGATGGCCGTGTCTGTCTCATCTTGCCTGCCCCTATCCTTCATTTTTGGAAACTTGAAAGTTGCCTTATATAAGAAGTTGCCTTACATCAAGTCAGATCATTGCTCCATCTAGCTCTGTGTTGTCTACACAGACTGGATGTGACTCTCCAGGACTGCAGTTTAGGGAGCTTCTCAAAGCACTACCTACAGACGTTGGGGGTTGAACCTAGATCTCCATGCAAAGCATGGATCTTCTCCATGCAAAGCAGATGCTTGCAGCCCTCCTTCCCCTGGAAGGGAGCTCCTCCTTGTGTGAGCAGAGAGGTGGACGGTGGAGTGCTGAATCACTGTGCTGACTGACAAACACCTGACCTTGATTTCCCCTGACAGCTGATTCAGTTTCTCTTCGGCCAGCTCCAATCCAGCCCCAGCAATGCTGGAATAAAGAGAAAGCTGTAAGTACCCTCATGTGACTGCATGGACATGCACGGGCAAGAAACTAGTTGGGGGCTCACCCTTCATTTTACCCACACACACCCCGAGCTCAGCTCCAAGTGGCGTGGTAGGTCACCAGACCTGGGCACCATGGTGACAGAAAAATGAATGGGGCTGAGAACTGATGAGTCAGAGCTGCTGACAGGTCTCATTCAGTGCCCTTGGAGAACCACCCTGTCAGCTTGCTGTGACCTTTGTTTTAGTGGTATACAGGGGATTGAAAGAAGAAAATTTGAAGAGAAAGGGGAGTGGAGGCAAGGTCCCCTGTGGAAACCACAGAGAGGTTTTCCAGTAATATCATTACAGGGGGTGGGTGGGTGGGAGGTGCACCTATGGGACTGCCAAGCCTATTAGGTGAGCTTATTAGGTGGCTGTAAACAGATGCAAAGTCTAGGGAAGGCCTGTGATGGTTTGCCATATGGACAGCCTAGGAACATTAGAGCTGCCTTGCTGGAGTAGACCAAGGGGAGGTCTAATTTAGGACTCTAGTTAAGGAGTAGCAACCCCACAGCTCTGGGCTTCAGAGGACAAGCTGCTGTATTTGTGAGCGAGGGGTGGTGTGACTAGTGTTGGCAGGGGCTGATGGGAGTTGTAGTCCAAAACATCTGGAGGGCACCAGGTTGAAGAAGGCTGGTGTTGTGGAAATTGCTTTGAATGAGTGGGGAGCCTAGACTTCATGGAGCAGTTTCTGTGTGTTTGTGTTTCCAAGTGCCACCTGATCAGCTGAGAAGCCCCCTAAAGGCCCAAAGAAGTGCCAGCTGTTCTTTCCTCTAGCTGCCCCCAGAAAGATTCAACACTCACCCCCAGAACCAGTGAGCTTGTGATAGTGTTCTTACAAGTCACACAGCTGAGTGACTGAGATTAAGGATTTGGGCTTCCTTCTCTCAACAGACCTCTTATGCTGGATGATGGCAACTCTGCTCCACAAATGACAAAGTTCAGGAAGCATTTGTCTTTGGATCCCATTCATGACTCGTATTTCATCCAGTCGGTGAGTTTGGGATGACGTTCATCTAATTTAGTCTTCTTGCCTGCTCTTATTTATTTGCAAGGTGCTAGCAATTAATCAAACATTTTTTTAAAGTTTTAATTATTTTTAAACATACATCTGAAGCTGTCTTTTCCCTGAGTCAGATCGCTGATCTATCTTGCTCAGTATTTGTTGTGTACAGCAATGAGTGGCAGCAGCTCTCTGGGATTTCAGACGGTAGACTTCTCCAGCCCTTACTAGAGATGCCAGGGACTGAACCTGGGACTTACTGCACGCAAAACACATGCTTTGTCACACTAGGTTACCCTTTCAGTACAGATACTTGCAAACACTGTGAGTGACAGAAGGTGCCATCTAGGAAGAAGCAGACATTCTTTCACATATAGGAAACATTTCCTCTTTTTAAATGGTCCCTGCTGAAACAAGGGCCTGTGTGCTTCATCTGAAAGCAAAGGAGTCATGCTTCTGCCCCCCCCTCAAGATACAGTAGTTGCTTTATTCATGTTCGCATCTATGCAAATTTAATCAATTATTCAGTTAAATTTAAATTCTAATTCATTTAAATCAGATTGTTCCACTCAAGAATGCCTCCATGTTTTGCAAAAGCAACTTGTAGGAAGCACATTTCTGTTTCACCAGGCCCTTTGGCTTTTAATCATCTGTGGCCTCAGAGGGGGCGTGTTTTAATCCAGTTTCTAAAAAATAGAATTGCCTTTTAGATTTTTCTTTGTTTTCTATTATCCCAGTTTCAATGTATCTATCTGTTTGGTTCTTTTGTAAGTCACTTGGAGTTACTTTGTTTAAAAAAGTGAGCAATAAAGTTAACAAAATAAACTTGACTGGAAAAAACACTTGCGTGGTGAGTTCCCGCCCCCCCCCCAAAGAAATAAAGACACAAGACACAAGAGTTTAAGGTTAATGGGTCAAATTAGGCCACAACTTTATTGATTACAGGAATTGAGGGGTATTCACCACACTTTAAGAAGGATATTGACAAGCTTGAACATGTGCAGAGGCGTGAGACCCAGGTGATAAAGGGTCTGGAAACCAAGCCTTATGAGGAACAGGAGTTAGCTATGTTTAACATGGAGAAATGTAGACGGAGAGGTGATATGATCGCCATCTTCAGTTATCTATTCTAAAGGACTGCCTAGTGGAAGATAGAGCAAGTTTGTTTTCTGCTGCTCCAGAGGGTAGGACCCAAACCAAAGGATTCAAATTACAAGAAAGGAGATTCTGACTCAACATTAGAGAGAACTTTCTGATGGTAAGAGCTGTTCAGTACCTTGTAAGGTAGTGAGTGGACTCTCCTCCATGGGAGATATTTAAACAGAGGTTGGTTGACCATCTCTCAGGGATTATTTAGCTTTAATTTCTGCATTGCAAGGCCAGGTGACCCTTGGCTTCCCTTCCAACTTTACAGTTCTGTGATTCTATGACTTGAAGGGGTCTCAAATTTAATATAGTCCAGCCTCCAATTGGTGCAGGTACTATAGAGAGCAGCTCCCCACACATGACTTAAGTCTATAGTCTAACATTACCCAGCTGCACTGCTGACCATTACAGGGACGCTTTACTGTTGCATTGTTAAAAGAGATGTCTTTCCCCCCATCCTTGCCTGCAGCCATCTGCAGAACCTGCTTCGTGCTTAAACAGCCCTGCTGTCCCCGGAGGGCCAATAATATCAGATGTTACTGAAGTGTCACCATCTAATGCTGTGGTCATGCAGCCTACTTCCAACAGGGAGAGGTAAGAAAAATCAAGTGTTTTGGTGAGCAACATGGATGGATGTAGGAGACAGACAGACAGACAGACAGACAGACAGACATAAATAAATGCCACAGGAGACTGAATAGGCCAGGGCCAGCTTTGCCATTAGGGGCTCCTCCAGACGGGTGGTTTTTGTCTCCCCCCCCCACTCCCGTGTGTGTTCTGCAACATGATACTTTAGTTGAGATTGCTGCATAGCAGGGGGTTGGACTAGATGACCCTCGGGATCCCTTCCAACTCTGCAATTCAATGATTCTATAATTCTGCGTCACTGGTACAATAATAATGCATTAGTGGTGGATTTATGCTCAGTCGTCTGCTTATAATGCTGCTTTTGCAGGATGGACTCTTCCTATAGTGAGAATATCAAGAAAGGTCCCCCCCGCCACTTCTCCCTTTCATTCCCCTGTCCCCCATTCTCTCAATTAGCATTTCCAATATTTATTTATTTTATTGCATTTATATCCCACCTTTCTTCCAACAACCTCAGGGCAGTGTACATGGTTCTCGTCTTCCCCATGTTATCCTTACAACAGCCCTGTGAGGTAGGCTAGTTGAGAAACAGTTATTGGTCACCCAGTGAGTTTCCTGGCTGCTTGGAAATTTGAACCCTGGCCTCACAGGCTTAGTCCAACACTCTAACCACCATACCACACTGTATTCATGCCCACTGCTTCTCCTCTCCATTTTGCACCCTCCCCTTGATATGGGGGAAGGAACTGACTTTCATGCACGTTGGTTTCTGCTGTGTTGCCTAGTTTGGCCCTGGAGTGAGCTGAAAGGAAAAAAAGCATCAGGGTGGCGCTGAAACTTGTCTTTGGTTCAGGGAAACCTGCCTCCTGCTGGTCAAGGAAGAACCCATTAGCCCTGAGCAGAAAGCCGCATCCACAGATCCTGCTGTCCCCTTGATTGGCTGTAATGTCTGCTCAGACCCTCCTGTGTTGCCTGTTGCCATGGTTCAGTCTGTGTTAGACGGCAGAGGGAGCTGCGATGTGCCACAGCCAGCAAGTTTGCAGACACTTGACAGAAGAGGCAGAAGGGCACCTCTAGACAGGTGAGGGGAGGAGCGCCACTATGTGCTCTAGCACCACACTGTTTCATTGCTTGTGGATGGAGAGTATTGCATGAAGGCTTTAGTAGTTGCAGCTATGCTTGTGCTTTAGTTTAGGGGATCCTGAGGATACAACTAGCAAAACACTGATTCTTTAGGCGCTCATCAGAGCAAAAAGAACTGTGGCAGAGATGGGGAGTGTGTGTCCCTCTGTATGATCTGGACTACAATTCCCATCATCCTTGAGCATTGGCTATTCCAGCTGGGGCTGATGGGAGCATGAGTTCAACAACATCTGGAGGGCCACAGGCTCCCCATTCTTGGTTTATAGCTTAACCTAATTCCAGGTTAAGCTACGAAGTGGATCCTGGCATGAGACTCATAGGAGAATCCTATAACTTTCTTCAGAAACTTGTTATGAAGATAAAATGGGGGAAGACAAAACACCTTGCCCTTACCTTTTGTTCCTTGGACAACAGATGGGGGGAAAGAGTGTTGATCCGCCTGTTATACAAATCCTTAACCTGAATCCCAGTGGGCAACTGTTCCTCTTGTGTTTTCACAGAGCAGAAATCTCTGATCCTTTAGATGGTGCTGATTTGAATCTGGAAGGCCTTCAGATCCTACTGAGAAACCAGCAGTATAATCTCGAAGCTGCCAGTCCTTTGGATGTAAGTTTTTGTCTAATCATGATAAGAGTTTTATAGCTTCATCATATTTGTTTTTCAAAGTTGTAGAAGCCACCCTTAGAGCAGATACAATTCTTCAAATCCATAAACTCCTCACACACATTGAACTAACTGGTTTCTGAATGGTAAATGGTAAAAGATACACTTTGAGATTATCGGGTTTTGCTGGAAAATGTTGAGACTTGGCTGACTCAGTTAAACTCACTAGCTGGCAGAGATTTATGGAATTAAAATGAATGCAAAAGTATACCCACCAGCAACAGCATCTTATTATTTTTAACCTAGAAATTTGGCTAATGAAATCTGAGTAAGCAAAATTTGGGCATTTCCTTTCCTTTTAGAAAATTTCAGGCAAAAGAAAGAAATGTACACAATACATGATTATTAACTTATGGAACTCCCTGCCACAAGATGTTCCCATCACAATCACACTCTTCCTAGCCTGCCCCCCTCCGGTGCACAGAGTTTGGGTGAGTCAACAAAATTCAGCCACTGGTGGAATTTGGTTGCTCAGTCACCCACACAGGCTGCTCTGAAGGCCTCCAGGGGCTGCAGAATATCTACATCTACTTTATTTTATAGCTTTCTTCTTCTTCTTCTTCTTCTTCTTCTTCTTCTTCTTCTTCTTCTTCTTCACTAGAGATTTTTCAAAGAATTGGCAAAAACTGTTTCCTACAATCTGAATAACAGAAATAACCATGACTGAGATCCTATCTGTAGAATTAATTATACAGTTTGACGCCACCCTGATATCTGAGTGAGATTCCAGGGGGTCCAGGCGCTTACCCAGAGTTCATAGTTCCTTGGGAATGAAGCACAGTGGAGACTGTGATGTATTTAGGATATATGGTTTATTTATACATATATACCGGGACGCGGGTGGCGCTGTGGGTAAAACCTCAGCGCCTAGGACAGGGGTCTGCAACCTTTAAGACAAAAAGAGCCACTTGGACCCGTTTCTGAAGGGAAAAAAACTGGGAGCCGCAAAACCGGGAAGGTGACGTCGGGACGGTGCGTGACTAGTGCACACACCGCCCCCATGCGACGTCACAGCCAGTACAGTGCCCGCCACAGTAGGGAGTGTCGGGGCGCACAATGCGCCTCCTCCCCTCGCTAGTATCCGCCCCGGAGCTGCGGCAAAGGTGTTAAAGAGCCACATGCGGCTCCGGAGCCGCGGGTTGCAGACCCCTGGCCTAGGACTTGCTGATCACATGGTCGGCGGTTCGAATCCCCGTGGCGGGGTGCGCTCCCGTTGCTCGGTCCCAGCGTCTGCCAACCTAGCAGTTCAAAAGCACCCCCGGGTGCAAGTAGATAAATAGGGACCACTTACTAGCGGGAAGGTAAACGGCGTTTCCGTGTGCTGCTCTGGCTCGCCAGAAGCGGCTTCGTCACGCTGGCCACGTAACCCGGAAGTGTCTGCGGACAGCGCTGGCTCTCGGCCTATAGAGTGAGATGAGTGCACAACCCTAGAGTCTGTCAAGACTGGCCCGTATGGGCAGGGGTACCTTTACCTTTTATACATATATACCACTGGAGCCTACAATGCTCACAGCATTAACACCCCAATAGTGCCTTGCTTCCCCCATAGCCACAGCCTTGGATTTGAGCAGAAATCAAACATGGTTCTCTCTCCCTGTGACTTCCAAGCCTGCTGCTTTTCCGGCTTCCAGCTCTTAGCTTAAATCACTGCACTCTCCACTCTGGCCTTTGTTTTTCTAACTACTAGCCAGTTGAGGAAGGGAGGCACACCCATTTTGTTTCTGGCACAGATCCACTTCCTTTGTTCCCCTTAATGGCCCATTACCTAGGCTATCACCTCACCAGGTATTTACATTTTAACACTTGCTGGATCTAGGGGTAATAAGGGTCTTGACATACCCCCCACCCCAATGTGGGCAGAGCAGGAATCAAATGAATCAATAACCTTATATCCTCCTGATGTTTTTTAGCTGCGGTTTATCTTACACCTTGTTTCTTTTAGGTTTTCAACCCCACTATATCTGCAAGTGAATGGAATTTGAATGATGTGGAGGCCAATTTGTCCTCGGTAAGACATGCATGTGCAGGATGGGAGACGGGTAGGGGGTGGCATCTGAACACCACCAAACACCTGTGGCATTGAACTGGGAGGAACTTGCAGGAGACTCTGAGATAGGGCCGGACAAAGTCCTTCCACACAATACAAACAGAAACACACAGACGTTCGCGTGGCCTTCATTCCCATGAAAAGTGGGGAGGGGGAAAATTTCTAGGGCCTGGGCATAGCCAAGGGAGGGTGTGGGGAAGGGCAGTCACCCCCCCATCAAGTTAATCAATACAAAATACCTAGCTGAGGTTCTTCCCCCCCCTAACATAAAGCCTGCCCCCCAATATAAATCCTGGCTATGTCCATGTTCTAAGGTGAGTAGTGTGAATCTCTAAGTACTTTTGGGTGTGGGATATGTTTACTAGAAGGCTGGGTTGGCTTTTGCCTAGGAGCCCAAAATTTGCCTAAGGATGATGGAGAAATTTGATTTAGTTTGCATTTAAAGGTGAATCCACCAAACTTGCACAAGATTGAACAATTTGCAACCCAAACCCCAGTCATCCTTCCATAAATGCACTCCTCTGAATTTTGCAATGCTGTTCACCAGCCAAGTAATATGTACAAAAGATATTAGTGAAAATAGCATGAACATAGTAGCCACGTGCCCAGACACAGCTGCTTTGGGCCTTAGACAGCCTCTCTCTGCATTTAGTGATGATAGTTGCCTACCTAGCACAGCTATTTCCAGGACAGCAGATGTAATGTTACTGCTTGATTGGTTTCTCTGTTACAGCACCCCTCTCTTCCTGCCTTTGTATAATTGTGCATTGTTGTAGTTTGTGTTTTTGCATCAGGACACAGATGCCAACGGTGGATCTGGAGAAGAATGCAAATAAAAGGTCCTCCCGAGTGTTAAATCCCCAAGTTAATGCCTCTTGCTCAGGTACTGCTCATAGCTAACCTTCCACACAGAGAAGTGACAGTCTACCATGCAGAGGCTGATTTTGCTGGCAGAAGCATCCCTAATTAGGAGCTCTTTGCAAGCAATTCAGCAAGTTGCGACATTTCAGAGAGAATGAACTTTTGGCTTTTTCATTTGGCCTCCTGTGCTACCTTCTACCTCCTGTGCAATTTTCAGCAATGCAAGTACCATCTCCATAACTGACTGTGTTTGCACATAACACTTGCATAGCCAGGACTCCAGAAGCATTTAATCTTAGGGTGTGTTCACATAGCTCAGTGTTGTTTTATTGGTGCATTTCACAGCATTTTGCCACAGCAGTTCACATCAACCTGCCTTAGTGTCAGATTCGTTTCTGCTTGTGTGCGCACCTTGGACCCTTGCCAGGTCAGGGATGTCTTCACCCCTGCAAAAGTGTTCACCCCTTGACTGGAGTTGCATTAGAAATGGTTTGCGGAACAATACATCCAACAGTAGTCTTTTATAACAAAGTACAGGATAAAGGGACGCGGGTGGCGCTGTGGGTAAAACATCAGCACCTAGGACTTGCCGAACGTATGGTTGGCGGTTCGAATCCCTGCAGCAGGTTGCGCTCCCGTTGCTCGGTCCCAGCGCCTGCCAACCTAGCAGTTCAAAAGCACCCCCGGGTGCAAGTAGATAAATAGGGACCGCTTACCAGCGGGAAGGTAAACGGCATTTCCGTGTGCGGCTCTGGCTTGCCAGAGTAGCTTCGTCACGCTGGCCACGTGACCCGGAAGTGTCTGCGGACAGCGCTGGCTCCCGGCCTCTAGAGTGAGATGAGCGCACAACCCTAGAGTCTGTCAAGACTGGCCCGTACGGGCAGGGGTACCTTTACCTTTACCTTACAGGATAAATGTGCATTTTGGATAATGTTTTGTGAACATGGATTAAAAGCTCAGCACTGTGAATGCTGTGAATGCATGGTAACTGGGAATGTGAAGTAAAGGTAAAGGTAAAGGTAAAGGTACCCCTGCCCGTACGGGCCAGTCGTGACCGACTCTGGGGTTGCGCGCCCATCTCGCTTAAGAGGCCGGGGGCCAGAGCTGTCCGGAGACACCTCCGGGTCACGTGGCCAGCGTGACGAAGCTGCTCTGGCGAGCCTGCACCAGCGCAGCACACAGAAACGCCATTTACCTTCCCGCTATAAAGCTGTACCTATTTATCTACTTGCACTTAAGAGTGCTTTCGAACTGCTAGGTGGGCAGGAGCTGGGACCGAACGACGGGAGCTCACCCCGCCGCGGGGATTCAAACCGCTGACCATACGATCGGCAAGTCCTAGGCGCTGAGGTTTTACCCACAGCGCCACCCACGTCCCTGGGAATGTGAAACCAGCCCTTAATTTCCACTAATCTTGGCTTGATGTCGTATGGGAAGCAAAGATGCTGTTATAAATTCTAGCCAGTTGCAAACAAGTATTCAATGTCACTGGGGAGTTAAGAAATCAAGAATATTCATAAATGTATATTGTTCATTAAAAAAAATCAGAATGGACCTTTCCATATGAGACTTGGTGAGTTAGGTGACTTTCCGTGATTCATGGTCATGGGCGGTGTGTGTGTGTGTGTGTGTGTGTGTGACTGGCACAAGAGGGGAACATATAGTGCCTGAGGTAGGACATTGTAAAATTTTGCAGAGCTTCTAGAGGACTGTGAAACCCAGAGGTTCCACAGAAACAGGGTTGAAAAACACTGCATTAGAGTGAGTTGCTGTATGTTGTTACAGTCTAACCTGGCTTCTAAAATTCGAAGATTTAGCAATCCAATAACCTAAATAAAAACATTGGCTAGGTTGCTTGGTATCAGACACCTATCACATGGACCACTGTCTTATTCATTGTTCATCCTCTCCTCTGAGAGAGTAGATGTTATGTCACATTTTGTTTAGATCTCTGCCAATTCATGTTATCTAATACACTGGTAGAAATATTCTCTATTTTCTATTTGTGTTCTTAGGGAGAGACGTCATTCTGGAAAGCATCTGTCTGCACTTTTGGAAGAGCAACACTATGAATGTACCAAACAGTTCATCTTTTCACACTGGGTCTAGAACAGCACCTTCCTTCTTTCCTGCTGTGGACTTTAAAATCCCCATCTCAGTTACATCCCATCGAACCTGATCTCCCGGAATGAGAATGATGAGTTTTCTTTTGCTTAGCTTAAACTATTTATGCTTTCCCTCCCCCCCCCCGGGGGGGGGGGGAACATCTAGCAGCCTGAATGTAAAGAAGTGGAAGTCAGTCACTCATAACAGATACACAAATGTGATGCAGTCATTTTTGTTTCTCTGTCAAATGTTGTGAGTGACAGTTAGCTGTCGAAGGGATTATCTGTCTGTTTTTGAAACTCCCATCATGCTACAAATGAAGCTTTTATTTCTGAACTGCTACTGACAATCAGTGAGGAGGTGATCCCTACACACCGCTTTGGTCCTGTCCAATGCTCTGTGTCCAGTTTTTTCTCATGAGAAATCTTAGACCTCAAAAAAAAAGGTACGTATCTTCCCATGTTCAGTCTGTGTCCCATGATCTCACAGGGACCGTCCTCGTCATTGTCTCATCTCTCCTGTTTTATTATTGGAGCCTGAAAGGTCATCTCTAATTTGTGCCTAATTCCCCATTCTGGTTACATCAGCATATAGTGCTATATTGACTGTTGTGCCAAACCTTGACATTATCAGGACCAGCTTGACAAATGCCAAATCTAGCTTGGAGCCAGCTGCATGTCTTACTCGTTCACACAAAAGGACTGTGCTAAAATTGAAATTATTTGGGGAGGGTTGAATAAAAAATTGGATGTGCTGCTCAGAATGCTAATATATATTCTTCTAGCTTGACTTTTTTCAGCATTCCCAACTATGGACATTGTTAAATTTGGGATTGTTTTTTTGAACATGTGAAAAAATGTTACGACTTCACAGATAATTGTTGTAGCTTTATATTTATTTATTTTAAATCCTGCAAAGTTCAATTTCTAAAAGCAAACTTTGAAAATTCATTAGTTTTTGGATATATAGTACGTAATTTGTTTCTTTCAATTTGCACCTGTCTTTGCAATCCTGGGTGATCCTTGGAGAGTCATTGCATGTCTTAAAATTGCAAGTGTGAGTGCAGTTTGCAGAAATCTATAGGGCCTGTGGCTACAAATGCAGCCCTGATTTCCTGCTGTTCAAAATACATTTGTGAGATCCAGCCTTGAGAACACATGGAACCTCTCCTCTCTTGAAATAAAGCCTTCCTTGTCATCTTACCCCGAACTTATTAACCCAAGATATCGGGGTCATTCTTGGGAATATGAACTCTTCTTACTCTCTCCTTTACCACTTGCTTGCTTGCTTTGAAACCATGACTAATGCTAACATAGATTCCTCTCTTAATTAATGTTTGAAACCTTGGTTTGATGTTAGTGTGTAACATCTGATTAAAAGGGAACAGGGTTAATCTAAACTATAGTTAGTTTTGATACAAATGTAATGTGTTGAATTATGGTTAAGGCTAATAAGGAAAAAGTGGAGGGATTTTGCATCAGAGAGGTGAGCTAAAAAGTGACCATTTCTTTCCAGGGCTTACTCCTGATTTACAGGTTGTGCTTTGCTGGAAATCTGATTTATAAACCATGGTTTGCTGGACTTGACTGTTATTTTTAGTCATCTAATTGTGCTACATGGTGTTCCAAAATGTATCTGTTTAGGGATATTTACATAAATTATTACCTAAGGATTATCTTGCATAACATTATGGTTTATTGAGCTGGAGTAAAGTGATAATGATAGATTCCTTGGGAGATGTTGCATCCAGACAGCAACTTCCTATGTAATAGGGTTGCATGATTTACCGTATTTTTCGCCCTATTGGACGCACCGGCCCATAGGACGCACCCAGTTTTCATGGGGGGAAATCAAGGAAAAAAATATGATTCCCCCCCCCCGCAGCTCTGGGAGCAGCGGACAGGCTGCATGCAGGGGGAATTATCCATCTCCCGCAAAAGCCCACAGGAGGGTTGGAGAGTAGCGGGAAGGCATCGCTCGCCTTCCCGCTGCCCCCCAATCTCTGGGGCTGGCGATGGGGGAAGCGCTGCTTTCCCCACCGCCAGCCTCCAACCCGGGTTGGAGAGTAGCGGGAAGGCGTCGCGCGCCTTCCTGCTGCCCCCCATCCTCTGGGGCTGGCGATGGAGGAGGCGCTGCTTTCCCCCACCGCCAGCCTCAAAGAGCAGACTCTCCTGGCTTCAGTGGAAGCAACGTGAAGCCTCCGGAGTGCAGGCTTCGGAGGCTTCGCGTTGCTATCGCTGAAGCCAAGGAGCCTGCATTCGCCCCATAAGACGCACACACATTTCCCCTTCATTTTTAGAGGGGGAAAAGTGTGTCTTATAGGGTGAAAAATACGGTAGCATTGAAAGAAAAGCACAAGCAACAGCATTCATTAAAATGTTTGATGTGTATATTTCTTACCAAGCCTTGCTTTGGACTGTCATCCGCCCTCATCTTGTTGATTCCTTTGCCTGCCATGTGGTCCAGCAAGGATGAACATGGCATTCAACACGGTTCCTGGTCGGCTTGTAGGAATTTGGTACATTGGATCAGCATTCCTAACATCTGGAAAATCATTTGTCCCAGAAGTCCCCACTGACAGGATTATCTCTTAGAAAGCTTGTTCCCATAAAATGCCCCTATGGAGGCAGCTGTGGGGCTGAAGTCACTCCAGAATTCCTCTATTTAGCTGTAGATTTGTGCATGCTCCATGTCTACACAAACTCCCTCCAGGATACTTTAAACTGTGTGTGATGAAAATAAAGGGGGAGTGAGACATATACTGATGAGTGAGAATGCATCACTTGGCTTCCTTGGCTTTTACAAAACTTTGAGAGCAGCAGAGCCTTATTTTTACTTACTAATACACTGCAATGCTTCTATACTGAAACTTTATCAGGTTTATTGCCAATTTAATGGCTATGGTTTCCCTAGATTCCTGGCACATGTAGCTTGGTAAGGATACTGAGATTTCTCTTATGCCACCCTCTCAGAATAGGATTTTGCATGGTTAATTTGTGGGGAGAGAATGACTATTAAGCCAGTTCTGGTCAGTAGTTAGGCCTTTTAGAACAGAGAAAGAATGTGTTTAGGTCAGAATTAATTTTAGACAAGAGCTAAGTCTTGATAAACTATTTGTTAGAAGAACCTAGACCTAGAACATGGTGCCTCATATCATAACAGAGTACCTCTCAGCATGTGCAACATGCCTTCCTCATTCCTCAGTAAGCACACCATCCCACACATACCTGTACTAGAGAGGTATTGACTTTTACCCTAGCACCTCCTAAGTTTAGAAATTAAGCATAGCCTCAGTGGTAGTGATGATTTGTAAAGGGGCAGGTAGAAGGAATGCTTTAGCACCAGCGTGTGTGCCAGCTAACCATTTCTGTGCCAAAAGCTTCCTTATTCCATTGCAACCCCTCTGGGACCTGAATGCTAGCAGCTGACATGGACACACACACAGAGTATATGAATGCACATACCACAGTGCACACACACCACACATTGTCTATATACCAAAGTGTAGACACATTGCAGATTTGAACACACAGCAGCACATGTGTACATGCACACACAGAGCCCTCACCCTCGCTTCTCAGCTGATTTTCCACATCGTAACTTTGCTGGGCAGAATTATTTCTGAAGAGTAGACAAGATGATTTTCTTCCCTTTGCAGCTTTATCACAATCTGTTTAGTAGCAATCTGTAATTTTTGTAGAATCTAGTGTTTTATACATTTTTGTAGCTCTCTTAAGACACCACTTGCAATGATACAGGTGCAGCATTTTAAAAAATGATATTGACTGAGAAACAAATTAGCTCCCATCCCAATCCTTTTCTGATTATAAAGTGATTCACTAGAGTGCATACCCCTCTTACCTAGTTTTCTTCAGAAAGTGAAAATCAAGGGGAATAGAATTATCTCTACTTCAAGGAATTTTTCTTGAAAGGTGGTGTGTGTGATTGGTTTTCTTGGCTATTTTATGCTTATTTATTTATTTATTTATGCTTATTTTATTTTATACTTGAAGTTGATGTGCTGAACCTGCAATTTTGCACTATGCTGTACATTTGTAAAGTTTTACAAGGTATGCTAATTAAAGAGGTTTTCTTCTGTCCTCATAAAGTTCTGCTTTCACAGCCTTTTATTTTCCTTGGATTCATTTCTCTGTGTATTAATATCAATAGCACCCTATATTAGATAAACAGACTTGCCTCCCTATTTTCCCATACTGTAATCTTGCCTTTCCTCCAGGGAACTTGGAGGTATCTATGGGATTACTCTGTTTTATTTACCCCTGTGAGGTAGTTTAGGCCCACTCAGTGTTGGGGGCGGTGGGTTGTTTTTGTGTTGCTTCACCTTAACATTGTCACCATGGGTTAAACTTTAAAAATCTTTATAGCAGTTAATGCATTTGTATAGGGGGAGGGATTGCATGTCTCACTTGCATTCTGTTAGAAGCCATCAACCATCCAGTCATAACTCTGTGTGCTTTTATAATTATATATACATAGGAGATCAGGGTGGTGATACTTATACTTTTACACATGCTACTAGCATTTGTTTTAATTTGCAAAGATGCATATAAGCAGAAACAATTGTAAAGTATTCCATTCATTAAGCATCTGCCAAATTATAATTTACAAGCAATGTTCAACCAGATAGTCCTTCAGCCTGTGACCACAGCCAGCCATAGGGCCTATAAAGACCTTGCAACACTACCTGTCTGCAAAGTGATCGTACTTTGGGAATGGCCGCCTTGTATACCACTTGTAGCCGTATCAGGATCATGAGCCCCCAAATTAAAATGGTGACCTGGCCAGGAGCAAACGTCACTCTCCTAATGAACAAAAGAAGCTGTGATGCTTTCTGGGGATGGGACTAGGGCACTAAATGTGGAAGCTTTTGTAGGAAGGTGGACTCTAGCCAAAACTTCTGGAGATGGAGAGTGGATGCTTTTAAGAGGGTTGAGTGAAAACCTCTGGTGCCTTTCTGTGAATGCTAGCTTGTTGGGTTTCTCTGTCTATGCTGATGTCATAGGTGTTCAATATGCCCCACCACAAGTCGGATAACAAACGATGCAAGAAGCTGAGAACAAAATCATTTACTCAGACTGAATTACAAATAAAAGTAAACGTGTAAGCAAAATAAGCAAAACAATGGCAAAGACTTTCTACAAACTTAGAGCAGAATCCAACAAAAGTGAAGCATGTGTGATTTCAGGGGGAGAAAGTTAAGCATGCGCTCAACGCTCACCAAAATAAATGAGACTTAAATGATCTTCATTTTTGCTGGGTGCTACTGATTAAACAACCTTTTCTCAACAGATGAAAGAAAATAGACTGAAAACTGAATTCATACTTTAAATGTTGGTTACCTGACTTGGTGGCATTGAACTTTTACAGATGCATACCGTGGGTGAGCTCGTGTTGCTTAGCACCTGGAAAGACCAATGCATAAGACCCCCTTTTGCACCATGGCACTGCCTGCTCTGCCACTGATCACAGCAGTGTGGTAAAAGTAAGGCACAACTATTGAAGAGAGACTGGACTTTTGCTTGCCAGGACTGCTTGCCTGCAAGTAGTGTCACAGAAAACATTTGTGACTAATGTTAGGGTTACAGCACTCGCTGTGATGCAGTAATGCTAATGAACAATGGGAAATATCTTGGCTTCTATTTTATAAATTCATACAACACGTCTTCATTTATTTTCAGGAGTATGCTGCTCTGTATCTTCTTCAGAGATATTCCCTGTTAAGAGGTGAAATTTCAGTTAGTTTCTGGACATAGGAACTATACTCTCCCCAAATACCTTCCTGAAGAGAAGGACCAGTTATTAGGCCAGAAGCTACTCCAAAGACAGGAGTGGCAGCTGAGATTTGGTCTAAACTGGACCACTCAGTAGTCACTGTAGTTCATTCCTCGAGTTGTCCCCAGCAGAGAAAGCACTGGGCGCAATAAGAAACCCTTTACCATTTGGATTATCAGGGCAGTGAAGGCTTAAAAGTGTGAGCTATGAGCCAGGAAGGCCCCAGGGCAAATCTCTCTTCAACCACAGACCCACAAGATGGCTTTAAGCCAATTACTATTTCATATCAACAGCCCCTTTCCTCAAAGCTCTTAACTATTATTAGTGTTAGTGTCTGTGAACTTCATTTCTTAAAAAATGAGTGAGGACTTCCTATCTCAAGCAGCAAAAATAAATAAAAAAAAAATAAAAAAATCAATCACTGGATGTTTACATTTGAGAAGCTAAAGCACTAGGGGAAATGCTAAATTACCTTGTGCAGAAACATTGTTTAAAACACCCTTCCAGATGCAGGACTTTGCAAGTGTCAGGCAAGCCCAAATGATCAAATGGGATCAGTGCAGCTAGGACAGCAATGGTAGGGTCTCACCAGTTACCAGTGTGTGAATTCTATGCTCAAGGAAGTACCTCTGCAATACCTACCAGTCATAGGAAGATTTTTGCTGTATCAAGACTTCCATAGGCTCAGATTCTGGGTTCAGTTTAGACTAACTTCTATATGTGGAATTATGTCCATCCCCTGTCCAGATTTGCTAATGGCAACCAATTGGCTATAATATTTATTTACTTAAGGCATCTATACACTGCTTAACAATTAGAATTTCTAAGTGATGAACATAAAAATGAACCATACCAAAAAGAAAATAATAACAATTCATCATGAAACCAAGCAAACCCAAACAAAAATCCATGTTTGCTTGGACAGGGCCTACAGAATCCATAATTGTGGTAGTCATTATGTGGTGAAGCTTTATGTGTATCAGATCGAGACATATTCAGCTCTTCTATGCACAGCCCCTATGTAAATGTGATGTCTATATA